CGCAGCTTAACTGGGAATGCCGTCGCGAAAATGGACATCCTATTGAAGTAGCCACTCTCATATCTCGTATTTGGCGACAATGCCAGAAAGTGGAACCGTAAGCAAATTCTTTTTCAGAATTTTGTTAGACATCTTGATTGCTTTCAGTACCAGCCATTCCACACCAGCAACTCCGGAAGTACATAGACCTACGGTAGATGTATCTTTCGTGAATAATCCAGAGCTGTCGGATATCCGATTTACGGTTAGTTGCAACTTGTGCAATTACAGAAAGAAGAGGAGAATTTTGAAATTCTAGGTCGAGGGCGAAAATGTGTATGCTCATCGTATTATGCTTTACAATGCTTCTGAACGATTCAAAGAACTCCTGAGAACTCCAAAGGGAAACATCGACATCACTGACGTCTCTCACAGCACTTTCTTGGTGAATTCAGAAAATTTTAGTTAATTTCAATTTTTAAAATCAAAATTTCTAGGCGATGTTACACTACATCTACACCGGAGTCATTCCGGAACTATCCGTACAAGCGTTATGCTGTTTATATGCTGCTGCCGAAATATATGTGATACCAGCATTATGTGCTGCAATTTTGCGTGATCTCGGACGGATTCTTTCACCCCAAAATGCTGCTTATATTTATCAGTTTGCCATCGTAAGTCTTCTAAATATCCTGGAAAATACATGAAAAACAATCGTGACAATGGAACTGACGATTATCGCGCAATATGAGGAACTTCCCGAAGATCTTTCTATCCAAGAATTTCTTCAGTTGTTTGAAATATGCAGTAACACTCCCACGAATACATGATCTTAAACAGTAATTGTGTCCCCACCGTATGTCTACCGTATTCCCCATGGATTATGGTATTATTCGCTCCAGCGAATTGCTCAAGAATATTCGTATTCCAATGACATGACTGAAGTGCACAAAGCTGACCACGTTCAAACGAAAACTTACATTGCTAAATCTTTTTGCTCGCACCAAATCTTATTTCTTTATTTTTGTTTAGGTGCACAACAATCCTATTCTCCTCGAGAAGGGTGAAGACTACATGCTGACAAATCTAGATACACTAATTACTCAGTCAAAAATACGGGATTTAATCAAGAGTCACTCGGCCGACTATTATGTTTGCGCTGCCTTATCTAAAAAATTATCCTCCACCTTTATTTCTTGTAGAAGTGAAAAGTTGTAAACATAATCTTTGCCTTACAACCTTTACGTTCTAACTCGTAGTTTTAGCTTCCACAGATAGTTTCTAATATTGAGATTTCTTGTTATGATCACTAAGTCTTCTAACCAAGGTTGCTGAAAATGTTGTGCCATATTGTTTTCTTGTTATATTGTTGTATAAATATGCTGAATGATGTTGCGATCCTTTGAAGATGCAGATTTGTGTTTTTCTGCTATTTTCTTACATTTTCTATCTATTTTCAAGTTTATTGCATTTGCTTATATTTGTCCATATTGAATTTATACAAAATCCTGGCCAGAAACAGATACTTTGAAGAGAGTCACATAGATTTCATCATAAAACAAACCAACGATACCATTTACAGCGAACAGTCTTTTTGAGCAGAAAGGGAAATAATATAAATGAAAAAAGTTCTGGCATTTTCAACTTAAAATTACAATTTCATACGCTCGAACATAGGAAGATTGTATGATATTATGAGCGAAAAGAGTGAAAAGTGATATTATGAAAATAATACTCCTTCCGATTGTCTTTTATGTGGTTAAAGTACTAATCTTTTTTTATATGGTTACGACACTAGAGTATGGGTCCAAGCA